TTAACCACTGTGCCACCAGGGAAGTCCCTGTTTGGTTTTAAGTAAAAATAAGACACATTTTTCATTTTCACCAAGAACTTTATTGAACAATGTATTCATTAACCGAGCAAACTTTTTGGCCAACCCAATATATAAGATCTCTGTACAGAAAATCTCTATACAGACAAAATACTACTGAGAGAAAATTAAGAACTAAATAAATGGAGGAATACATCATGTTCATGGATTCACTTGATACTATAAACATGTAAATCCTCCTCAAACTGATCCATAAATTCAATACAATCCTAATCAAAATCCCAGGGTGGGTTTTGTTTTTTTCCTGAAAAGTGATGATTCTAAAATTTAAATAAATATGCAAAGAGCTAACTAACAACATACAAGACAACAATGGAAAAGCTATCAAAGTCGGAGAACTTACATTAACCAAATGGGGAGACTTGTCCAGTAATCAGGACAACTTGGCATTGGCATAAGGATAAACAGACCCAAAGGAATAGAACAGAGGATCCAGAAACAGACCCAAACACATACTATTACTGGACTTATGACAGAGGCACCCCTACAGTGCAGTGGGGGAAAGAGCAGACATTTCAATAAGTGGTGCTGGGTTATCTGAATATTCATAGGTAAAAAAAATTAACCTTGACTCTACCTCACAACATACACAGCAATTAATTGGGACCTAAATGTGAAAAGGAAAAGAACAAAGTTTCTAGAAAAACATATAGGAAAATATCGTTTTGACTCTGGGTAGGCAGATTTACTACACAATATTCAAAAGCACTAACCATTTTTAAATGATATATTAAACTTTAGTAAAATTAAAGAACTTCTGTTCATCAAAAGACACTATTACAGAGACTTCCCTGGTGGTCCAGCAGTTAAGATTCCAAGCTCCCAATGCAGGGGGCCTGGGTTCGATTCCTGGTCAGGGAACTAGATCCCTCATGCCGCAACTAAAAAGATCCCGCGTGACACAAGGAAACGCGACAAGAAATATCCTGCGTCCTGCAACTAAGACCTGGCGCAGCCAAACAAATAAATAAAAATTTTTTTAAAAGATACTATTACAGGGCTTCCCTGGTGGCGCAGTGGTTGAGAGTCTGCCTGCCTTTGCAGGGGACGCGGGTTCATGCCCCGGTCCGGGAACATCCCACATGCCACGGAGCGGCTGGGCCCGTGAGGCATGGCCGCTGAGCCTGCGCATCCGGAGCCTGTGCTCCGCAACAGGAGAGGCCACAGCAGTGAGAGGCCCGCGTACCGCAAAAAAAAAAAAAAAAAAAGATACTATTACAAAAGTGAAGAGACAAGCAACACACCAGATACAAAGGTTATATACACAGAATATATAAAAAACTCCTACAAATCAATAAAAGAAAGGCAACCCAATGTTTAAATAAGCGAAAGCTTGAATAGGCATTTCACAAAAAAGAACAGCCAAATAGACAGCATATGAAAATATGCTCAATATCCTTAGTCATCAGGGAAATGAGAATAAAACCACAAGATACCACTACACACCTACCAGAATCACTGAAATTGGATAAGCTGACAAGAGCAGGTGTTGGCAAGGATGTGGAGCTACTAGAATTCTCACACACTGCCAGTAGGAGTGCAAACTAGTGCAACCAATTTGGAAAACTGTTTGGCAGTATTCATAATAACACAGTGCTGGAAATGAGTCAAATGACCATCAACAGGAGAATGAGTGAATAAATCAATAAATAAATTGTGGTATTTTCATATAGTACAGTACTAACCACAACGAGATGAAGCACTCTAGTGCTACACACAATACGAAAGACCATGGGTAAACCTAACAAAGCCATGCTCAGCAAAAGAAACCATATCAAAAAAGTGCATACCCAAAGATACTACTCATATCAAGTCAACAAGAGGCAAAACTCAATGAAATGGAAAAAGGATAACCTTTTCAACAAATGACGGATGGAACAATTCAACATTCACATACCAAAAAAAATTAACCCCAACCAGTATCTCAAACCTTCTACAAAAATTAATTCAAAACAAATAATAGATCTAAATGTAAAAATTTTAAACTTTTAGAAGAAAACCTAGAAGACCTATGTGACCTTAAGTTAGGCAAAGAGTTCTTTAATATGAAAACAAAAGCACGATCCACATACGAAAAAATTAATAAATTTGACTTCATAAAAATGAACTTCTGCTCTTCAGAAGATATTGTTAAAGAGAATGAAAAACAACAAGTGAACAAATGAGAGAAAACATTTGCATATCACATACCTGACAAGGAACTTATATCCACAATACATAAAGAATCCTCAAATCTTAATAACAGGCAACCCCATTTAAAAATAGGCCAAAGATGTGAACACACATTTCACCAAAGATATACAGATGGCAAATGAGCACATGAAAAGGTAATCAAAATCATTAGTCATTAGGAAAATGCTAATTAAAACCACAATGAGAAACCAGTATAGCTGACATGAAAAATAGCCTAACTTATGATGACAAAGTCAAAATAATCATTACCTTCAGGAGGGAATGAGTGGGGGGGGACACAAGGGGGCTTCTTCTATGGTGTTAATAATGTTTTATTTGTTGATCAGGTTGGTGAGTTACACACAATTATTCATTTTGTAAAAGCTGTACACTTATGACCTATTCACTTTTCTACACAGATGTTATACTTTATTCAGTAAGTTCACATCAAAAAAGAAAAAAACTTCCCAAAGCGACTCCACATCTAGGTAGCTTCACCAGTGAATTCTACCAAACATTTAAGGAAGAAAAAACAATTGTCAACAAACTCTTTCAAAAAATAGATTCTTGTTTAATGATGTCAGCATAACTTGATACCAAACCCTGACAAGGACACTACAAGAAAGGAAAATTACAGGACAATCTCCCTCATGGACAAAGTTGCAAAAATCCTAAACAAAATGTTAACAAACTGAATCCAGTAATATATATATATAAGTTGGGTTTATTCCAGAAATGCACTTAACATTTGAAAATGATCAATGTAATTCACCTACATGAATAAAGGAAAAAATTCATATGGTTACCTCAACAGATACAGGAAAAACACTTAATCAACAACAACACACACCGTTAGCAAAGGAGAAAAACATTTAATCAACAACAACACACACCGTTAGCAAATCTGAAGTCTGATAACAGAGTTATCTACAAAACTAACTTACAAGATAACATCATACCTAACAGTGAAACACTGAACGTATTCTCTGAAAAGAGCGAAAAAGACAAGGATGCCTTCTGTCACCACTTCTTTTCAACATTCTCCCAAAGGTCCCAAACAGTGTAATAAGGGGGGAAAAGTTACAAAGGATTGGAAAGGAAGAAATAAAACTATCATTATTTATAGTTTGCCTAATTATATATGTAGAAAATATAAAAGAATCTATAGTTAAACTATTAGTCTCAAAGGATAAATCATTAGCCTCTACAAGTGAGCTATTAGAATCCGAAAGTATCTACAGGTAAACAACAGAGTGAATAAATAAAATTGTGGTATAATTGTACAAAGGATTCATATACAGCAACAAAAATGAATGAACTGCTATGTACAAGTTGAGTGAATCTCACAGAATGTTGACTGAAAGACACCAGAAAGAACACACTGAAGGCTTCCATTTATATCCAAAACAGACAAATTAATCAATGATGTTAAAACTCCTTGTAGTTGCCTTTAGAGAGGAAGGAGGAGCAATTTAGACGATTAGCAGGGAGTTTAAGGGGGACTTCTAGAGTCTGTAATATTCTGTTTCTTGATTAGGGTGATAGGTGTGTTCACTTTGTAATAATTCATTGAGCCATACTCTTTTGGTTTGCGCACTTTAATGTAGTCATGCTGCACCTCGTTTCAAAAAAATTTATTACAATTTTTTCTAATCACATTTCACTGCTTCAAACATTTTAACGGCTCCCCATAGACTAAGAGTAAAATCTAAGCTCTTAGGCACGGCATATGGTATGGCTCCTACCTTTAATCTAAACCTCATCTCTGTCTATCTCACACATACACTTTATATTCTAATTTACCAAATTATTTATAGGGCCAGAACCTTCATGCCTTTAGATAATGTTTCCACTTCTTGAAATTCTCTCCCTCTTTACACTCTACCCACACTCAACACAATTTCCACCCAACTTGGATATTAGCTCCTCCAAGACCCTTCTTATCCCTCTTCCCCAAATCACTCCCTTTCCTATACTCAGTATATCTATTATTGCATACATCAAGCTACAGCATTAGCTGTTTATGTCTATGTCAGTCTATCCTCTATTGTACTGTGAACAACTCAAGCACAAGGTCTAAATTTTCATACTGCCAGTGCCTACCACAAGGCTTGACAGGTGGTAGTCACTTAGCAAGTTTCACTGTTACGTATATAACCTTACAAGCTGAAACAGTAAAACCATCTAGGATGAAGCCTAAGTCTTACACCTCCTCCACAGCACTCGGCAGAGCAATGATACACTATAGGCATTAACGGTGATGGTTTAGCTAGTAGTAGAACCTGTACCAAAACTCAGTTCCATGGACAAAATGCTCTTTTCAAACCATATGCAAAACACTCTTCAAAAACCATATGCTCACCTAAGAAAAGGGATGTATGTCCTACTGGAAATGTAAAAAAAAACATCATCCTTTTATACATACAGATTTCCAGAGTTCTGAGAGGAGAAACCAACAGAAATCAACTAGTCAAAATCTTTAGGAAAGAACTGAAGTCCAGAAAAAAAAAGTGGCTTGCTCAAGGTTGAGACAATAGCAAGGGCCAAGACTAGGACTCAGATCCCCTGGCTTCTCACTTAGTGCTTTCTCACAGCCCATGCAGCCTCCCTTTTGTACCATGTGACTTCTCAAGGTAAGTGGTACGACTGCTTTACTACTTTGGATTTAGATAGCTAGTATCCTCAACTGCAAGATTTTTTTCTTAATTTCATTTTTAAATTTGGTTCTAACACATGAATACTAATAGTACCAACAAGTTCAACCAGGAAAACACCATTTCCAGTTCCAATATCAAGCACTGAAGCATCCAATGGAATCTTGTGTTTCTGCATCCACCTTATTAGTCGAGTCATACTCTCTTCTCCAAACCTATTAGAAACAGAGAATCAGTTAATCAAATAACAGAGGGATAGAGAACAAAGGTTACAACTACATTACACTCAAGCAGCTTATTCAGTTTGCTCAATTAAGTCTTTTTTAAAAGTAAGAAATAACATCTGTAACTGCTTAATCTTCATCTATACTATTATTTAGAAGAAAACACCCCCAAGAATAGAACAGAATAGATAAGGTTGGTATGTTACTTATTAATGTTTCTCTACATCAGCATTAACACTTGTACATGTTGGTGGCTCAAAAGTGCATTGCTTATTGAAAAAGGACAGTTATAAAATAAGGGTTATTTCCTAATACTGTCATCAAATTTAAATCTGGGCCATTAAAAGAGAAAAGAGACAGATTCTTTCAATCTATCCACCAAAGCCAGAATCAGTCCAAGGTTCCCAAGATTTCTAGGGTTTCTCTGGGATAAGCACTTAAAAGACACACACACACCTACACAATCCTCTGGATCATAATCCCACTACTTTTTCTAACTTACCAGATTTCTCCTGTATCTCCATATTCTTGGAAAGTTTGCAGTTCTCTCTCATAGACAGCATCCCAGCTATATGAATAATCAAATGCAAAGCAAATTATTCAATTAAACTGTATTATGAATTAAAGGTGTATTTCTAATACATTACTGGGATAGTTATGACAGAAATTTAAAACATTATTAGTGTTGACAAGTGCACACCGCTCAATCTTTTAACATCCTTGTGTTAAAAGAATGAAAGAAAGAATAAGTTGATACATGTAAAGCACTTACAACAATGCCTGACATTTAAAACGGTGTATGTTTTAGCTTAAAAACTACAAAGACGTATCTGTCCAAGGATCCCTAAGTCCCAAACACAAATCCAAAACTTGACTGTAAAGGCATAGTGTCATTACAGCACTTTTCAGTCTAAAATGTAAAGACACAAGAATTTTCTACCAATTAGGTGGTTACTCACAATGGAATTCGCCAAAAATAAGCTCCGCTTAAAGGTTGTTTTAAGACTTACTCTCACTCCTTTTAAGGACTCCTCCTCCATCAATTGCCGTCTCTTCCTATTTCATGTCTATAGAAGCCCTTCTCCCCCTCCAAGTTACCTCTCATTCTTACCTTTCCCCACAGTCATTCATTCATCCATCTATTAATCCATTAAATAATTGCTGAACGTCTGCTTAGGTCAGACCACTTTCTCCTACTCCAAGATGCCCACTATCTCCTCGCTCCCTCCTTAGACCATCCCCCCCACTCCCACCCCTTCCATCTTCCACGTCCCTGCCCTCGTCCCCTTAACCTTTTCAGCTTCCCAGCCGAGCAGCTCTCCTCCGGCCTCCTACCCTCGCCCACCAGCCGTTATTTGTCAGCCCCGCCCACTTTCACCCCACGGGCCCCTTAGACGTCAACCCCTTGAAAAGCCTATTTACAGCCGCCAGTGTAGTCCCTCGGGATTCCATCCCTACGAGCCCCCCCCCCCCGGACCCTCGTCCAAGGCGGCCCTTTAGGCTTCCTCCCGTCACGCCCCCTAAGCTCTCCCCATCTTCCGGGGCCGCCTAGGCCCCATCTCTCCTTCCCCTCCTGCGGCCCAGTCCGGGCAGCGCCGCTCACCCTCCCCTGCCCTGCGCCACACTCACTGCTCTCGGGTGCCCAGCGCAGACGGGGAGAAGCCATCCCCTCGGGGACTGCCCCCTCGAGACCGCGCCGCGGCCCCAGCGCCGCCGTCGTCGTCCGCGCCCTCGCTCATCGCGCTCCTTGCCCCGGAGGGCCTTTGGGGCCGCCATAGAGACGTGGCGCGGGCAGAGCGGACGGGCGGGCTGGCGCCTCTAGGAGGCGGGAGTCGGCCCTCTCTACTGCTCCCGGCCCCGGCGGGGGTCCGCAGTCCGGCGCTTTTCCTGCAGCCACCCTGGTCCAGAGTCCCGGATCCCAAAGCCCAGAGTGGGCGGGGCGGGGCCTCGCCTCGGTCCCCACTCTCCCTCCAACCAGCGTCAGATGCACCCCCTTCTTCGAGGTGCCCGCCTAAGCACCACTATATTTGGGGACTGCTGTTCCTAAGGGACTGTTCAAGGTATTGCATTTTGGAAAAAGGCTGGCGGTGGGGGAGCCACACTAAATACCTAAGCCGACACTGCTCAACCCAAATGTACAAATCACCTCATCTCTCCACGTCGTGGGCAGATCTGAGAAATGCGTGGGACGGTCCATCGCATTATTTGGCTTTCCTGCCCAAGGCTAATTTCATTTGCGGCTGGCATTACGCCTTGAAAATAGCACTCTGGCCTCTTCTGACTTGACGTCACTGGTGGACGAGGGAATTTATGCCCAGTGAAATGAACGCCTTACGACACCCGCCCCCCCCCGCCCTCCCAAGTAAGCCAATCACGGGTATCAGAGTGCTAAGTGAGAAGAAAGGTCTAAGTGAAAGTCAAGATGCCTGTCTCAGCTCTGCCCCTAACCAGGCGCCTGGCCCTATCCAAGACCCCTAACCTCTGTGTGCTTCAATTTCCTCACCTGCAGCTCGCTGGTAATAGAATGCTCCCAACCAGTGAATCTGAGATTCATCCACCTCTTGGTGGGACTGATGCTGGAAGTTCTGCAGCACAATGCCAGAGATCTTAGGGGCCAAATGTCTGGGGGGACTTCTGTAGCAGCAATGAAATACTGGTAGTCCAATGCCCTAGGCAAGAATCTCAAAGGCTCTTAGCAAGGCTGCCTTCCAACCAAAACACATGTTTCCTAGGCCACTTTTCTGTTGACATGGCAGACAGAAGCCCAATAACAAGTCCCTGGAGGTAAGTGGCGTCAACATTTGCCTTTCCAGCTCACAGAAATCCCGATTAAGACCGCATGTGCATCTCCTCTGGATGCAAGACGTTCCAAGATCTTCCGGCAACCACTGGTGACAGAATATGGTAAAAGGCAGATGGGAATCTATGTGTATAGTGATTAAAGAACTCAAGAAAGTGCGTAAGTAACCTTATTACAGAGCAATAAAACCACCAGATGCCACGGCCAATTAGTGCTGCCCTGAGCGAAGGTTGTTTTGATTTTTTCTAGACTCGATGCTCAAGAGAGTAAGCTTGAATGTGACTGAGTGGGTCTTAAAAAGTTTTAGGTTCTAATTCAGAAGCACCATGAAAGACAAGGCCGTCTTCAATCTGATGTCTTGCCAACACTTAAGATGTTTTTGCTGTGTTTGCTGAATGCTATAAACAGTTGTTGGTATGGAGCCCTGGAAAAAACCCATGGTTTATACAGAGTTCCTTCTCTGGCTCCAGGATTACTCTGGGTGTTTAGTCCTGAAGGCTGAATGGGGCACCACCTCTGATCTCCCAGGGCAACAGATTCTTGGTGGGGGGGATGGAGAAGCTCGATCCGAGCAGAGCTGCCCATCACCAGGGAGAAGGTGGAATGTGCCAAGGAACACAGTCCCTTCCACCAGGTGCCCGTTCCACAAGGCAGGAGGGAGGCTCTGAGGGTATTCTGGGTTGCCTGTCTCCCTCTCACTCTGCCAATCCCTGCAGCCTGGAACCCTGCTCGCCTATAACTTCTCTGAAACTGCTTTCAGGAGTTCTCAAATGCTCCCCAATTGGCAAAACAATGGTCAAGTTCCAGGCAATTCTAGTTAGGGTTAGAAGGGAAGGATTCTCTGAGAGGGTGGCACTGAGTGAAAACCTAAAAGAGTTCGTCACAGGTGGTATCCCTAGGGAAGCAGAGTGTAAGACTGAGATGAACATGGCGGAAGTTTATTAGGGAGTGCTCTCAAGATCACCCCCTATCGGGGAAGAGAGAGAAGCAGGGTTGGACAGAGGAAGTAGTCAGGCTGGGGTACCACTACGACCGAGCCTCAGTTAACACCCTCTCCCCTGACTGGGCACTGTGAAGCTGGGATGATCCTTTGGAATTTTCAGGTTGGACTGAAGGATGTGAGCCTTTATTCATCTACATTGACCAGGCATTGAATGCTTGCTTGCCCAGAAAAGGAGGATTGACCTTGGGTGATGAGACTCTTCCATGAAGGATAATTCCAGGAGAGGGCTGTCACCTGACAACCTCCCCAGCGGCTGGGATAATAATGCAATCAGTCGTGCAAGGGGAGATCTGGGTCACACATCACCACATCTAGAGCAGAGATAATAGAGTAAACCTTGCAGCTTTCTGGGAGAAGAGCATTTCAGGCAAAGGGAAGAGTGAGTGCAAAGCCCCTGAGGTAGAATGAGATAGGGGTATCCAGGAAGCAGAAAAAAGGCTAGTGTAGCTGTAGCAGAGTGAACAAACGGGACAGCAGCAGGAAATGAAGGAGTCAGATCATTGTAAGGTTTGGGATTTGACCAAGAAGCAACATGATTTAAATTTAAGTTTTGCGGGGCTTCCCTGGTGGCGCAGTGGTTGAGACTCCGCCTGCCAATGCAAGGGACACGGGTTCGTGCCCCGGTCCGGGAAGATCCCACATGCTGTGGAGCGGCTGGGCCCGTGAGCCATGGCCGCTGAGCCTGCGCATCCGGAACCTGTGCTCCGCAACGGGGGAGGCCACAGCAGTGAGAGGCCCGCGTACCGCAAAAAAAAAAAAAAAAATTAAGTTTTGGCGTGACAATTTTGGCTGGTATGTTGTGAATAGATTTGGCAGGGAAAGGGTTAAAAGCAGAAGTGGGAACACAGGGTTTCTCAACCTCATTCCATTGACATTTGCGGGGGGGATAATTCTTTGCTGTGAAGGGCTGTCCTATGCATTGTAGGATGTTTAGCAGCTTCGTTGGCCTCTGACCATTAAATACCAGTGGCACCCTACCCCCACCCCCAGTTGTGACATCCAAAAATGTCTCATTTTTGCCAAATGACCCGTGGGGCAGAATTGCCTCCAGTTCAGACCCCTTGAGTTAGGGGCTGTTACAGTGATCTGGGAGAGAGATGATGATAGCTTGGACCACTGTGATGGGTATGCTGATGGTGAGTTGTAGCATTCTGGATATATTTTGAAAACTGTGCTGACCGATCAAAGGGAGCATCAAGAATATTCCAATGTTGTTGGCCTGTGCAACTGTCAGGAAACAGTTCTGTTTGCTGAGTTTGGAAAAAGTGTGGTAGAAGGAGCTTTCTGACAGATTAAAATCCCAGTTTTGAACCTGGAAGATTGAACAAATTGAAGAATAATGATTAGAAAGGTTAGTTCCTTCCCTGAGGTTAGTTGTAGTTCATTTTCACTATTATTTATGTTGATTTTTTTATCTTCTTTCCATGATTTTTCATTAAATTTGTCTTCCCTTGTACCCAGAATCCAGTTGCTTCTTAACCTCCAGCGCTACCACTATCTCACTTCAAACCATTGTCATCCAGCGTCTGGATTATTGTGATAGCCTCCCTTCCCCGGCAATATACTTTGGACATTGCAGCCAGAGTGGTCATGTGAAAATTGAAATCACATCATGTTACTTCTAGGTCAAACACAAAACCGTACAGTTGCCCGAATCAACTGCCTCTTTTATCCTTGAGCGTGGCAAATGCTGGCTTTTAATGCTAAAAGTTTCATTTGTAAAGAGAAAAAACGGTTTGGGGAACTACCAAGAGCTATACTGAAGAGGCAGTGTCTGGGATGCGCAGAGCGCGAGACCCACGGGGAGGATACAGTGCTTGGGTCGGTTCTGATCGCGTAAACCTGCACTTCTCAGCCCTCGCTCCCCGGCGCACAGAGCCCTTGGCCTCACCCGCTGAAGACTCCATTTCCCAGGATGCCAAGGGGCGGGGCCGACCGGAAGGCTCTGTGCCCTCCGCGGGGCATGATGGGGGAGTTGGAGATTTCCATCATGGCGGCTTCCATTTCGGGCTACACCTTCAGCGCTGTGTGTTTCCACAGCGCCAACAGCAACGCCGACCACGTAGGTGCTGGGCCCCCCGCCGCGGCTGCTGGGGCCTCCAGCCTCGGTCTCAGGCCGACGCCTGTGGCCAAGCTGGGATCACTTGCGGCTCGCCCCCCGGGCCGGCCCGATTAACTGATGACCCGGGAGGCTCCCGCCGCCAGCGAACTACTGCTGCCCGGGGCCCTTCGCCCCCGAGATGGGCCCCCTCGCTCGGTGCCTTCCGCCGCCTGGCCGTCCCGCGACGGCAGTCTCCCGTTTGGCAGAGCTTTCCCGGCCGGCCACCGACAGTGTCAGGAGTCGCTTAGTGGAAACCGAGCGCCTGCCCCTCCCTGAGAGTCAGGCTTCTAGACTTGCGAGGGGAGTCTGGGGTCGGGAAGGAGCCGAGAGACCCGGCTTTAGTCTAGGAGCGCAGACACCCAGCCGCGCCCGCTGGTCTGACAGGTTGTTGTGGGCTGCGACGAGGGAAACCGTGGCTGTCACTATTCGTACTTGTTAGATACGATCGTGTGTTTTCTTCTCCTCGATGGAAAATGGAGATGTAACCAGGAGTGTTAGGTGTAGGGTCTCTTTGCCTTGAAGTTGCATGTTCAGTTCCTTGGCGAAGGCTCTAAGACCACGGAACTAGTCGCAGTGAAATAGGGAAGTGACAGGCCTACGTATGAATGATCGGAAATGCATTTTTAATGTCAGTGGCCTCTGGATGGAAATTCTTTATGAAACTCGATAATTTTTATCTTTAAGTACTTGCCCACCAAACTGAGGGATTGTTTTAAGTGGTTTTAGTAGTGAATTATTCAAGTTCATTAAATAAACGTAGTGGGGGGGCTGTTGTGGTTGTGTAGTCATCACAAAGCAAAATGATACACTGCAGAAGAAGGAACTGGACTTGGTTTCACTTCTGCACTCCTTGCTTCCATTAATAAAAACTGATTTCATGTAGAGGTGGTTCCATTAGTAAATTGAATGGCACTAAATAATTGTGCTGTTCCTCGCTTCAGTTTGATAGTAGAGATTAAGGATAGGAGTGTAC